TTATATAAAATTGTGGCGTGCATATCTCACCCAAAACGATGTGTGATTGAGAATATGTATCTCAAGACTGTCCAGCAATAAATTATGCCTTGTCTTCGACCACGTCTGCAAGTTTTTTCTTCTCCATTATGCATCTCTGACTCTACCAGTTTTTGACAAATTAGTACAAGAAACATCATTCTGTATACGCAGTTAAAGAATCTTAATTTATCTACGGAATAGTACAGACATAATTATTGTAAATAGAAATAAGCAGTTACATATATACTTTTAGTTAATTAAATTATTCAAAACTAGTATATATATGAGATTATTAATTTTATCACTTATTTAATACTATTTGATCACATATAGGTTTCATCATACTTCTAAGTTTTCCATTCTTCTAGCTTTTTTTTAAAGAGACAGACAGTACACTCTGTGGGTCACTTACAGTTGCTACTGCATTTACGGATCGCAATTAATTGAAATTTATGCCTCTGTTTCAAATACCAGAACGTTTGGGAAATATTTGTTCGATAAATTCAATGACAGTGAACCTCTCTAAAACGATTGCTAAACGAAATATATATATGTCTCTAATAAATCAGACTGGATCGAATTTAAAGTAATAAACACAGAGCTAACCACAATCGACATATTCTGTGGGTATGTCTGGCACGGACGCTCACATTCTGAGATGAATTCTAATTTCTTTATGGTGCCTATACTTCGTAAACAATTCCCGAGACTTGTACCGTTTTCCAGACACAGATTTAGGTGGAAATTGAAAGCTTCGCTCGGCCGTACACTCAGGCCCTTGCTAAGCTTCGTAGTCAAATAAGTTAAGGGGCCAACTCGATTTGAATATTGATAGATTCGATATTTCTTTAGTTAATCTTAGTTTTAGTTTAATTCTTAGTCTCTGAAGTTCAAGCTCAAGTGAGGGCTTTGTTTGTACACTCCCAGGCGGAGTTTTGTTAAATCTTATTGGAATAACAAAGGGTTAGTTACCCTTCTATCTTGTTGTTTCTTGTCACCCGAACTTAAGCGATTATTCGCTTATCAGTTCTTAAGATTCTTCACTTCCAACATTAACTTAGAATTACAAAGTGAGGAATTCTACAAAATAACAAAAACCTAAACATATTATCTGTTTTTATAATATATAATAAATCGTTTGCAATCCCTTAATCTTTCATACGAGTAGCTTTTTGAACGTATTCCTCAGAGCTTTGCTTAGAACTGTATACAACAGATTACGGAGAGCTATGGAACATTAGTTTTAATATGTTAAAGTTTTGATTGTATAGTTTTCCTTTTTCAATCTAAAATCTAAAAAACTGAAATATTTTCTTCCTTTGCTTTTGCAACAAATATTTAAAAAAAAAAAAAAATTAGAACTAAAGAACTTGACGTGTTAGGTTGACATGAATAAAATTTTTTCTTCTTAAATGTTTTCATCTTCGATCTTAGGTGCACTCCTGCAGAATTTTGTTCTTTTGCTTATGCAAATCCAATAAACTACATTTTCTCTATTTCTATGTTGAATTCAATAGTGATAACATAAATAAAGAGCTAATGATTTTTTTCGGTTTAGTCTCAATAATGTGTAAATCAACCATATTCACGAAGAAAAGAAATGACAATAAGTTAAGAGAGTAGAACGGAAACTAAACACTTCGAGGAGGAGACTTAAACCTGTATTTAACCTAACGATATCGAAGGGAAAACTCATTTATTCACAAAGATACAGCCCAACCCGTCTTAATGTCTAATCATAACATCTCTCGAGAAGAAAGTTACAGAAGAGGGATAGTAAAGACCCCTATTTCGTGGAAATCGGAAGAATTTTGGAAACTGCGGAAACATTTTATATTAACATTGCCGCCGCAACAGGATTAATTCGGCGAAATAGCAGTACATTCTGATAGGAAGGAATTTTGAGTAAAATGCCGTACGGGCGAGCTGGGGGTACATACTAAGCAAGACATTTAGACAAAATAGGAGTATACCCTGAGAAATGGTATTTTGGGTGAAGGGGAAATTTCACTAACTTGAAAATGGCCAAACGCGTAAAACAGATGATGCTTTTTAATTAGTACAAAACAGAAATTTAAAATATATCTTATAAGCACGCTAAATCTTCGTAATATATGAATTCATATTCCGTATACAAATTTAATCGTTTTAGTGGCGTAAATGAAAAAATAAGTTAAAATATTCGTAGATGAAAATGCGACTGAAATGGCCACAAACATTTTGGGATCAAGGCAATAAACTGTAAAAACGAAAGTCCGCGTGTATCATTAATTACAAACTGTGGCAGCAAAAATTAATCTGATATTTAACTTTCATGTTTCATCCCTTTTTTACTTTTGGCTCGCAGCTTCTACACACTCCCTATAGTTTTATCTAAACCAAGTTCAACATTTGAAGCCGATGACGTGCTGTGGACGAGGCGAAAATCGCATCTGACATCAAAGCCTTATGCATAAGCTGATTAACCTGAATTTCTCCAGAAAAATCATTTCTGGACTGCAGAACTTCTACAGCCAGGCATGGGAATGCAATTTCGAGTACTAAAATCATCCATGCAGAAAACATGTTGTCGTGCATGACAACGACGCACATCTCGCCTGCTACGCTGATGATATGACAATTGTAACAAAATCAAGACGGCCTGATCATGAGTTGGCCAAGCTTCAGGAGAAAATACCTGACATTCAAGACTGGTATAGAGGTGGAAGATAAGCAATCAGCCAAGAAATCCAAAGTACTTCTTACTAGAGAATTTAGAAAGAGAGGCGTCATTAGGAACGAAATCAATCTTTTTGGCATTGAAGTCCCTAGACAAGAAAGTGCAAGTTATGTTGCGGTAAAGCTTAACAAAACTTTTACGTGGATGATATCCATGGAAAGGCTGATGGAATTATTATACACCTCTTCCCCACTTTTGAAAAGCCAGCGGCTTCTCTTTAAACAAAAAGTGAAGACTATATATATCGATCATCCGACCGATTTTTTTCATGTATATCTCTATCTCTCCTGTCTAGTCCAAAATCAGCCAGAAGGATATTAAGAAAATTTAGGTTTTACATAGTAAAATCCTTCTTATTATGCAGGATGCTTCAACAGCGTATACTCGGTCTTAAAATGGAGACAGTTAAAAAATTTATCACCAGGATTAATAAAAAAATTTTGGAAGATCAGAAAATAATAATATAGTCAATTTTGCGGTCATTTTGGCATACGCGGTTTTTGAGAAGGACAAGAATATTACACCGTTTGTTGCTCATTTGCTCTACACAAATCAATGTGAAGAGCAAATGAGCAACAAACGGTGTGCCAAAGAGAAAGCAGTGCCTTCACACTAGGGCTGATCACTGAAGAAAAAATTACTTCTTCACACTAATATCTCTCAGAAATTCTGTCTTGGGTTTTAATATACAAAGCATAATTTTAACGAACAGATTGATGGGTCATAGTTTATAATTTTCAACTTTTACTGTTTGTTGCGTCTGTAAGTTTGTGTTACTGCAACTGCAAGCTGACTGGTCGAGCAGCTCCTGACAACCAGCAGCCTAAAATTCCAGCATTTATGCATTATTTTTTTATTAAGAACAATATTTATCTGTATAAAATTGTATACGTTAGTCAGTCTTCAGTTAATATCTGATTTTGCTGCATTATAGCAATTACATTTGCTGCAAGGAGGAGTTGGCTAGTTGCAGGATTCGCTCAAGAGGGATCACGTGACCAGTGCTGAATACGCTTTTAGGATATGATCTTGTCACGGCAGCATATTTCGTAAGTGCACATCTATATCGCCACTGATCTCCTAGAATGGGCCAATGGGATTACAGTAATATTTCTGTCATTTCACATGACCTTTGCGATTTTTAGACTTTAAAAGAAGGTGTTTGAAAATTCGTGGACGCGATTTCCTGTACAAAATAATTAAAGCATCGTGGATTTCTTGTAAAAATTTTCAGTGTGAAGTTAGATCAAATATAAGCATAACTATACATGTAAATAGTAGAAGTCTTAGTATTTTTTATTGCAGTCTATATGAAAAAGATGTTCTATAATAACAGCGAGTGCACAGTTTTGTTCAAAGTGATCTTTCCTTATTTGCATTCCTGTATATATAGTGTCTTAAATTTCACATTAATAACTGTTCTTTTTTAAATGTTTTTATTTCCTGCACTAGAAATACTCTTCAAACAGAATGAATTTGTCTTATTCACAACTAATATATTTAATTTATTCATATACAATTTTTAATGTTAACAACAGATATAATCAGATCAATCAAAATATATATTTTGAATCTTGAATTTTCAAAATCAAAGGAATGCAAACATTGAAATAAAATATCTAGATTCATTTAACACGTCCAGTTATTCTCAGCTAAGTGGTGTTAGCAAATGCTTAATATTCGAGGCGAATTGTAGGAGTCATTTTCTCGATATAAAGAGCGATAATATGCTACGAACATTAATCTGAATATCAGTGCGTAATAAGTTTCACGCAAGTGAAATGTTGACGATTAAATAAAATTATAAAATTGTAGCAGCATTTATACACGATACATTTATAACTGCGAAACAAATGCAAAATAATATGTAAATAACATCATGCGCTCATATGCAGAGTTTAAAAGATTCAGCGTCACAGCAATAGAAGTTCATTAATGCATTTTTTGAAACCTCACATTCAGTGGACATACCGATGTGCACTAGTGAATTATGCTCCCAGGCATTTCTAGTCAATGATCTTCCACAATGGCAAAATGTCTCAGTTTCTTTTTCTCCCTTCAGATCCATCTCAAACGGAGAAATTCATCTTTCGGATTTTTCAAAAGTCACGCACTTTATAGGATTTTCTGAGGAGCTGGTAAGAGCACAGAAAAATATTTCCTGCCGAAAGCCAATATAACAACAAAACGTCAAAGTCGAAGGAAACTTAAAATATACACAGCACACGGATCAAATGTTTTATGCAAAAACAATACTCACCCATTCGTTTGCTTTTTGCATGAGGATTCGGTCTGAAACCTAATACTCTCCGAAGAGCACAGTCCTTGAGGGTTTTCACTAAGGGACGTACTAATGTTCATTTTAGAAGTCAACTTTTTAAGAACGTCGTCCATTGACCGCCGGTTGGCCGCTCTTCCGCCACCACCAGCGTCACTGTGGTGACTGCTACAGGGCGAGGGCACTGTCTCTAAAGTCCTGGAGTGTCCTGGTGAAATAAGTCTTTGTTCCCCCCCACTCACTACAAGTCCACACTCACTGCCGCTGTAGCAGCCGGGATCGGAGTCTGAATCGTCCGAATCTCTGATATTTGATTCGCCCTCTGCAGAAACGCTCTGTAGAAGTCTTTGTTTCCTACTCGGATGACAAAATGCAGAGGGTCCACCAGATAAATTACCCTCTGGTCTGCCACCTTCTGCGTCACTGATCACACTGTCCGAATCTGGGTCCGCTAACCTGGATGTGTACGGAGAGCAACTGTCCGAAGCAACGGGAGAGGAGGTCATCTCATCAAGAAATGATTCCTCTTCGTCTTCGTACGGATAATCGTCTTCGAGCTGTAATCGTTCGTTTGAGCTGTGAGAAATTTGTTGCTCTTGGCGGAGGTTTAGTGCAGTTTCTTCGACTTCCTGGATAGGCGGGGTATTAAACGAGTGCTGCGGATCTTTGTCTTGGATATCGAGAGAAGGTCGGTGATGGTGAAGGCCATTTCTTATATCGTCCAAAGTAAACTTCGTCGGAGGACTTTTCCGTTTAGATGACATCCTCCTAAACAAATTAAAAAAAAAAAAAAAATAAGTATTTGTACACGGCAAAGCAAAAGTATAATAAACTTTTGAAAAGATTCATTAAACATACATAAACATAATGAGATATTTTATCAAAATTATTTTAATCATGATTCTATCTTCAGAACCTTAAAACATTAAACAAAGCAAGCTATTAATTTTTACATAAAATAATTAAATAAACTTTGAAAGTGTGATGCGAGTGCTTTCATAATAGTAAAACAAAAACTAAGAAAAGAAAAACACGATATTTGATGCTAAACGTTATTCTCACAAAAATACAATATAATTTAATGTAAATGCTTAGCTTAAAAACACATGACTAATGATGATTTACTTAAATTATGTCACCGTCAGTGAACGAGTCTCTGAATTCAAAATATTGATTATAATATATTATTTTAGGAAACTTTGAAAATAACTGTTTCTCAGTGGTAGTTCTTTTGGCAGAAGTATCAAGGATAATCTTAACTTCTTGCCTAAACATTAACTGCTCTTCAAAATCTCTCCTTCCCCCACCAACCTCGCGGTCCTTGAATGTTCTACTGACTATGGTTTCAAATTTGGGATTTTGCGTCACAAAGTGCATATTCCCTGTCATAACAATAAGTAACATCATATAAAAAGTCTAGTTACGCATCGGTCATTCACACGAACTTCGGTAAAATCACACAAGGCTATGTCTGAAGTCCCTCTTCAGGACATAATAGCGACTTTCAGCTTTCCAAAAAGAGAAGGAAAAGCGGAGAGATGGGGACAAAAGAACACAACAGTCAAATACACTTTTTTTTTTTTTTCAGGCAACAATGACTTTATCGTTCCAATTTACAATTAAGGGAAAAAAGAATAGCTGTCTTCTAAAGCTCTGTGTCCGGCAAAGAAGAATCTTCAAGAAAAGCAGACACGGAATGTTGTAAGGGACTATATACATAGCGCAGAAAGACTTCCCTTCAAACGACGACAGAATGATTTACGCAGTGTTTTGCTCTGACCTTTGAGTAACCTCCAGTGATATTTCATGACACTGTGTATATGAATTCATCTACAAAATGCTCAGAACTTTGCAAAAATTAGAATTCGATACATTTAGAGATCAATTCATTCATCCACAGTATTAGCTTAAGTCATGGAGCATCCGAATCTAGAGAAACCTCTGGCATCACAGGTTGATAATCTTCGGTTCAGCACAACTGCTAGTAAAGAAGCTTAACTACAAGTCCAATATACATACGTGATAGAACAGAGAAGTTTAATGCTTTACGTTAACTAAGTAAGGAGGAACTGTATTAACTTTTTTATCGAAATTCCATCTCTACCGAACGGAACACCTATACCTGTTTCATATTAATTAGGTTTTTCACGATTTTCCTCAAGCAAAATAACGTCGAATTTACTTTAAGAAAGTTTTCTATTAAAGATACAAGATATACTTTGTATAATCTATCATCATTAAATAACCAAATTTTTATTCTTCAAACAATACAAGATCGTTACAGAAGAGGATGTTTACACATTTTTAGAACAATTTCGATAAAGAATTTAAAAAAAAAAAAAAAAAAAAAAGAGCAGATGTTTAGGAATAAAAATTTCTGGCAACAACTTATTATTTGAAATTAGAATTATCGTCTGCTACTTTTTAATTTATTCTTCAATCAAAATGTCACAAGTAAACAAGCTGTGGATTGAAGAAAATGTTTTTGCGCTTTCCGAAGAGTAATATTCCTATTCCGTAATTCAAAAACGTTGCGAAATGCACAGTATTAAAATTTCTAAGTGCAAAATAAGCAACATTATTAATTGGAAAGGGAAAAACCGTCGGTTACTATTTCTACATGAAACGAAGACTCCAAACAAATACCCGAAAAAGGTACGTACTGTTTCTAATGTTTAATAAAGTTAAATAGTTGGTAACAAGAGAAAATCCGCTGACGCAGAAATCAATTGCAAAATCTTTACATAGATCTGCAGCAACAATAAATAAAATAATAAACCAAGATTTACAGGTTAAAGAAGCTAAAAGCATCATGTTCACCAGCTATTGCCGAGTTATGTAGCTCAAAGCAAACCAATTTCTAGAACACTGCATGAAAATCATTTAGCAGGAAATAAATGGAAATAGATTGTGATCATGGGTTTTCCTAAATGACTGCTACTACTACTACTACTACAACAAAAAAAGGGGGGCATTCAGATTTTACAGTACGCCTAAAGGGGCGTTTTTTTAAAGTTTTGTGGGTTACTTTTATTTATTAAATATCATGTTCTTCGCACTTAAACCATAAAATTCAGTTCAAAAGCAATATCGCAAAATAATTTTAAAATGAGCGTATCTTTAGCATTGCCGATACACTCGCGCGCTGGAGATAATTTTTTTTTCTCCGTACAATCTTGCCATTGTTCGCTTTGAAATCGTTCAGTTTCTTAATCAAAAATTCGTTAAAGTTTTACAAAATATGAAATCGATAATAAAACAAATTCCAAATTTGCGCTTCCAGATGTCCATATTCGGTTGCAAACGTATGTTAATCAAAATTTGATGGCTCTAGGTACCGTCGTTTTATCGACGGTCGTACATACATACATTTATGCAGATTCTTCGTAACTTAATTTCTTTAAATATAATACAGGGCTGTAATATTTGGTGAACGCAATTTGAAAAGTGAACCGACATTTAAGGTTTTCAACGCAAAATGCCAAAACGAAATTAATAGCCCTTCTATGCCTTGTTTCCGCAAATGAAGAGAAAACTTGGTTTAATAAATGCAAAGAAATTTCAGTAAATTCAGTTATGATCGTCGGAAGATTTTTTACAATGGGAAATAAGTAGAAGTGGAAAAAAAAATGTTAAAATCAACTCAATCAAGAGAAAGTTTAAAGTCCGATAATTTACAGGAGAAATTCCATTTTTTATACCAATTGATTTCCAATTGTGAAGAGGAAATTAATCAAGACAATGTGAAGTGAAAATTAATCAAGACAAAGTAACAAGTGATGCTTCGAAAAGTATCACTGCATATTCTATTGTACTTGTGGTCTCTTGAAAAGTCTTTCTGAACGCAAACTCGCGATGATTCATGGACTCTGGAATGTACTGGAAGAGGAATGTGAATCAGTACCCCTGGAAGTTTTACAAAAACCATTTCTAGCACAAAAAATCACGATGCAGTCCTCCAGAAAAAAGGGCTATCAGGTCAAACATTTAAAAAATTACTCTTTACATTTTAAACATTAATTAAGCGGCTCATAAATCATTCTAAAAATGAGTATAAACATTCTCTGTAATACTGGTAAAACTGTTATCGGTTACTGTAATACTGGTATAACTGTTACATTACTGTAACATTGGTAAAACAGTTATCGGCTTCTGTAATGTTCGTAAAACTATTGTGAAATCATGCAGGAAACTAAGAAGCCCCAGCATCACAATCATTGTGGTTACATTATTTTCATAACACATTCCAGAAAGGATTTCTTCGATAACGGCATGAGTTCATCTTCGTCAAGTAAACTTAACGCGTTCAGCTAAAGTAAACGACTGCACATAAAATGCTCTGCAAGAGACTTAAGAATTCTATCCTGAGTGTATACTACAAAAGGGTTAAGAAATATTTTACTATTCATTAAATTCAGAAAAATAGACATAATTTAAAGTTGATGGATTCTGCTGGATTCATATACATTTCATATTCAATTTAGGTAAAACAGACTTTGATAAGAGCCACTAAAAAATTCTCAAAATATCTGGCATATACTACTATTAGAATAAGAAGAGAGAGAATATTCAGAAAAGAGATGGAATTCAACATTTTGTGCTATTTACAAGCAGTGTACTGCAGATTCGAATGATGTACCATCAGACGAAAATAATGCGGAATAACGGAAAACAAAAGATAGTACACCGCTGAAGTCTGAAACTTCCAGAATGATTGATTTGCTGCCTGTCATGGAATCAAAGATATAGCCAGAACAAAGACGTCGTGAAACTTTCTAGTCAAGAAATTTCTTTATGTTAACATACACACATATTTTTAAAAGATCAAAACTGTTTTTTAGTACCATTGCGATTAACTTTTTTTTCGAACAAACACTATTTTCTCGGTTTTGCAAACAGAGTCTAATTTCCACAAATCTACTATTACACTAAGCTTCAAATCAATGAAATAAATTGAAAATTCTTATTTTTCATTAAAGAGCTAAGTCTACAGCCCTTGACATACGCGGTGATATCCGTAAGCGTACAAGATTATTCTTTCTATTAGTCATTTATTTTTATAGAATTGTTACCTATTAAAAAATATATATAAGATAAAAAGAACCGAATTTTAACTGATATATTACGTAAAATTAATCGTTTATCATGATTTTCTTTATACGGATCTCAACACATGACCATATCTATAAAATATTTTTACCAGTTTAAGTTACTACTTCTAGCAATGATAGATTATATGTCTTGGGAAGGATGGCTTTTTAAGGGCACTGCGAAGGAAGCTGTACACATTTGCTTACACATAAAGAAAAAACATGGAAACACCATAGAATCAAATCACTCTGATTTAAGAGAACAGTGCTTCAGACGAATTTCCGATCCGTGGTATGTGTGCTCCTTTATACAGGGTGTATCAGTACACCGTTGACAAACTTTCAGGAGAGATAGAGTACACCTAATACGATGGCAAATCACACAGCGATGCATGGTCGGAAACGCTTTCCTGGCGCCGTAATAACGACACAAAAAGTTAGACAAAACATGTTTTATTATGTTTAGTACAACAGAAACCTACAAATAAGAACAAAAACAAACAACGATCGTCATTAAAGAAAGTGTTCGAAATTACGACCTCAACCGTGATGCAGGCCTTACTTCTCTGGTGTATTCAAAATCTGCATTAGAAATAGATCGCATGGAAGATGCATGACGCACGGTTCCTGAATCACGGTCCGGGTCGTAACTTCGAACACCTTCTTTCATGATGATCA